CCGTGACTTCAATTTCCTATTAAAAAAGCAACAGTGCCTACCTTGCAGGGTTGTCTAGAGTGTGATGTGATAGCATATAAATGCTCAAGCAGGGGTATTAGTACACATGACATGTAGAACTGATTTCTGGGAACTTTTGGAAAGGAAGACTAGCACTGAGATGAAGAGTTTGGGTTTGGGCATTGGACCTGGATTTTGATTCCCCACTCTACAGATAAGCAATTGTGTGTATTACTTAACTTCTCTTCCTTCATTTCCACATCTTTAAAATAAGGAAGATAATAGTACTGACCTCAGAGGGTTGTTGTGGGGGTAAAACAAAGTGCCCAGTGTAGTGTCTAGCACAAAATAAATATCCATATAAATTTTAGCTCTTGTTGTAGAACTGTTTTATATGTGGCTTCAGGTTATCAGCAAGAGTAGTTAAGAGCCTGGGACAGTAACCATTCTTTTTTCATATATATAACACCTATAGCCTTTCAGAATTTTCTTTTTGATAATTGATTATTGCTAAGCCTAATGCTGCCATGTATATAGTCATTTATGGGAATATTTGCCATGATTGGGCATAAAATATAGCCTGCAACCTTGATATGAAGTTGAAAATTGGGAAGAGAGGAAATGGGGAAGTAGGTAGAATGCATAAATATTTCTCTATTTCTTGAATTTAACTATTTTTCTCCTCCTATCTGCTCCTCCCCCACCCCCCAGTATCAGTATCAGTAATCTCTCTCCAGATTCTTTCCATTTTGCATTGTATGTTCCTGAAAAAAAAAAAAAAGTTAGTGGTTTTTTTTGTACCAAGTCTTGCTATCTTATTGAATTTCATTTTGATTTTATGGCGGGGGGGGGAAGGCTCTCTGTTTGAAATTTGTGTGTAGGTGTGTAGGAAGGTGGGAGTGAGGGAGGGTAGATACATTGCTGTCATAGAACACCTTCCTTGACCAGTATTCTGAATCATTAACCACAAAGAGCCAGTGTTCCATTGTGTTCTTTCACAGACTTAGAGAGGTTGCACCTTGTAACCATGAGGTCTCCAAGTCTATTGCTTTGTAGGAGTATCCTGCTTCATATCCCTTTAATTGGTTTACTGCTTTCTGAGTCCCAGAAATAATATTTATTTTGCTCAGAGAATTTTGAGCTCAGTAAAGTGTAGACATTTAAGCTTCCCAGATTCTGTAGCAAAAGGAGCTTGGAAATCAAATAACGGTACTTACTTTTTTATGGTCTTTTTTCAGAGGTTGGGTACTTGAAAGAGGAAGAACATAAAATGTGTGGTATCTTCTTCCTTAAGATTCTTTTTTTTTTTTTTAAGTCTCCACTGGGAATGTGAGGACTTCCTTCTTATATGAAAGTTGAATTGCAACTAGGACTGTGCTGAGCTCTGTCTGCTCTTAGTCTCTGCAGCACTCATGAAACCCTCTGACGTTCATTTTCTCTAATATGCTTCAGGTTACTTGAATATCTTAGCTGGATGGATTTGGGGACATGTTGAGTTAAATATTGAATGGGGAGCTGGCATATCGCCTTTTCATATACCTGACATTTGAAGAGTCCTGGATGCAATATAAAATGAGAGTAAATAGTACTCCATCAATATTTAAAGTCTGTATGGAAAAATCATATGTACACCGCCCAATTTATGATCTCTGGGTATATCAATTTAGTGACACAGTGACAGGCAGAGGAACAATTTTAAGGAAGCCAAATACAGTAGCTGCCAGCTAAGAAGAGAATTAGAAAGGACAAAAATGGACAGTCCTTTCCAAGTAGCGCATCCCATACATGTGCCATCATGATGGAGTACCTTTTCTCCTCCTCCATCACGTCTCCTATTTCCAGAACACATAGAAACTGGAGTGGGTATATTTCTTCTTTTTGAAGGTTAAAAAAAAAAAAAGCATATATTATTACTCAGAAGAAGTATGGAGCGTGGTCAGTTCAATTTATGGTTGCTTGAGCATCTCAACAATGTTCTCAAGGCCCTGGGCTCTTTCCCTCTTCTGTGCCTCCATCCTCATTTTGTTGGCTCTGATCTCATGCTTGCTTATCCACTGTTGCAGTATGACAGCTCCAGCTCTGTGTAGCTGTTCACATGACCCGGACAAGGTTTTACATAGCCATTCTAGGGGTCCACTGGCTTGCTCTTCTTTTCTCAGAAAGCTACAGGGTGAGGTGCGTAATCTGGGAGGGTAGCATGGGAAAAAAGACAAACTGATTTTTTGAAGAGGTTTTAATAATATATCTTGGGCATTTGTGCAAAATCAGTGACTCTATTTTTGAACATGTAAATCTAAAACACAAAAATGCTAAGGGAAACATGTAGGCTCCAAAGCCAGTGTAGTCTTGAAATATGTGAGAATGCAGAGTGTGATTTGCTTCGCTAGATCCCTAAAAAATATGTTGGTACTTAACAGTGTTCTCATTTTTGCTTTTTTGGCTGCACATACATATTGAAAGTTTCCTCTAAGTCAGTTACTTTATTTTTTCTTTTCTTTTTTTTTTTTTTTATCTTGATGTCATATTTCCCCCGATGACCTCGGGACAGTATAGATGCTCAGTGAATACTGCTGACTGATTGACTGTGGTGTTCAAGATAGACTTTTCAGTTACACAGTGTCTTTTTCTCCCCTCTTCTTTGGCTGAAAACCATATTCCTGTGAACCTGGTGATTGTTGAATTTATACCAAAACTTCTGCACTCTTCGCCAATCAAATCAAACACTGGGAGGTTGCAGTGGGGGAAGGGCAGACATGGTAAGCTCTTCAGAGCTGTACACTTGAAGATTGTGATTGCTCTAATCTCCTCTTGCCTCTTTCCCTTTGGAATATCTTCTTAGAATTAACACTCCGGAGGAAAGTAACAAATGATATACACTGGAGTCAGTGTCTTGGTTGCCCTAATACTTTCCTGCTCTTTAAGGTATGAGTCATGTTCAGAACAATCTTCTGTAAGCTTAGCACATACACGAACAGAGCTTGGTTGGCAAATAACCTGGCAGAGGTCATTCAGCTCTCTACAGCTTTGTCTAGTCAACCAAACCCAAAGCATTTTGGACCCAGGTCTGTCTATCCTTTTTACTGTGCTAAGTATGTCATTTGCTCTCTTTATGTCTAGGCCAGTTTTACCTCCTCCTGGAATCTTCTCTCTAACCCCATTGGCCATTGAGAAAATGGGTTACTTCATAGGCTCTGTCCAGTTTCTGCTGAATTGAATTCTAAGCAGTTTAAAGGTAGTTTCCTGGCTAAAGATATTATCTCATCTTCTGTTTTTACAGTACCTTCAACTCCTGACCAACTTCTTATTCTGAAACTGTTTATTCCTAAACTTATTTCTCCAGCTGTCTCTTAGTCTTCCCATTCTGGGTGTCCACAGTTACATTTTTGTTTTATTCACGGTTTTGTTTCCTCCTCCTTAGTCATTGGTCCCCAACTTGCCAATTACAAGCACATTTATTGCCATCATATTTTCTGACCCTTAGAGACCAACATTTTGTCCATCATTAAATGACTAACCTAAATATGTTTTGCTGTACAATGAGGAGAGGGTCTATTTATTGCACATAAATATCTAATGTATTGACTTATTCAGTAGTTTCTAAGGATCTGGGCTTAATTTTGCCTTTTTTTTTTTTTTTTTTCAGAAGCTGTTTGTCAGAAACCCTACTAGGGTATGTGATTTCATATGAAGTTCAGGCAAGCCAGGAATAATAGGAAGATTTTATGTGTAAAATTGGCTTTTTCAAAGGTGGTTTCATTTTTAAAGGGAAACTGAAAAAATTGGACTATTGCGAGTTTATAATTTTTTTATAATTTTTATTCAATCTCAGTGCTTTTGAGTTATTGAAGCAATTCTTTAGTAACGATCGGTTTTCCTTGCTAAACATTTACAGTGTTTGTGTTTTTTTAACCTATTTTTTTGTTGTCTGATGAGAATGGAAAGGGTTTCGAAGCCAAATCTATGATGGTATGCAGAAGATGACAACACTGTGGCAGCGTGTAAAGAAATATGCTGCATTGTTTTTATTTCACACTCTCCAAATTACCTGTGCTGAGCTTAAGAGGTTTCATTCACGCATAGAAAAATTTTAATTATTCATAGTGCTTTGGTGTACCATAAAAGTCGAATTATTAACACTGTAATTTGTTCAGATAGCATTTAGTAGAAAATATATCAGAAATAATTAATTGTTCTCAAGATATGATAAGGTAGATATATCTACAGAGGGCAATCAAAAAGAGTAGCAGTAGGATATTGATTGCTTTTTAGAGGAAAAAAAAATTCTGTTCATTTCTAAATGTTCACAATTGTGATAGGCAAATTCCCACTTGGGAAGAGTGTTTTCCAGGTTGTTTCACTGCCAAGTGTTTGACATTGTGTGGAGTCTTGGATGCATAAGGCTTATGGCCGTCTTTGGGAATGACGTACCCCTAGGACCTCGGCTTTCTGCTGTGAAAGCTCCTATTTTCAAAGCCCACTACTGTCAGTAGGAACGTTCCAGTGGTCTCTCGGTGCTACTTCTAGTGAAGACCAAAGTTTTTCCCCCTGACTCTGAGATAGCTGCAGAAGAGGATACCTGTCCGCTAACAAAATAAATTTAGAATGCTGCCAGCGAGTGAACCGCCTGTTCTCCACTGTTTATGGGATTTGACTCTTATCACTTACTAATGGAAATAAACCTTGCTTCCTTTTGGTCTGTTTTAACATAACTGCACGCTACAGGCATGATTTATAATCATTCTAAAGTTAAAAAAAACGTCCAAATTGTATGATCGTTTGCTCCGAGACCATCCATATTTTTCCCTTTCCCTTTTTCTGTCTCCTTGACCTAGCAGCAGGAAGCCTTTGTTTGAGGTGTTCATCTGGAACAACTTTTCCACACTTGTTTTCATGTTCTGTTAGATTACAGGGCAGCAGGCCTACCTTTGAAGCTCCTTTCTCTTTTGTTTCTTTGCCGTGCACTCCAGTAATTAACTTTGTCCTTCTTTTATTTGTTCCAGTCAATCGCAGGCCACTCTGCTGAGCATCTTCTCCCAGGAGTACCAGGTTAGAAGTTTTCTCCTTTGTGAGGGTTGACAGGTGCCTAATTGAATGATGAATGTCCCTTTATTTCTTTGTAATTGAACTGCCAGCTCTCTGATTGGGTTGGAGGATGTTCTCCTTTCCACATCAAGCACCGCCTGCGTCTCAGTGGAGGCCTGCCAAGCCTACCCATCCATCTGTCTAATAACATCTAGCCTTTGCTTATTTGGTGGACCTGTAATAAATTATGCTAAACCATTATTATTCTGACAATAATAATTTCCCTGTGTTGCGTGGTTCCATGTGCTAAATGTTTGCTGACTTGCACTGTCAGTGCCGCTTTCCATTGCTGACAGAGATGATGATAAATGACCATTGCTGGAGTGGCAGAAGGCAAGAGAGGCAGAAAATGGAGTCATTTATCATGAGATGACAGGTGTCAGTCAAGTGGCAAGTCTCTATGGAATTACTTTTTGTAGTTTTCAAATAAGTTGTTTTTAAGCAATGTTCTTCCTGGTTAAAAATGGCAATTGGATTGTAAAACTAGAGTGCAGAGGACTTAGATGGAATTGAATTGAGGGAAAATTAATACAAAGGTTGAAAGAGGGAACAAGTTTTTCTTTGCCCTCTGCAACCCTAAGCAAACTTATTTAGATTCAATTACTATGACCCTGTTGGCTTTTACATATATACTGTACCTTGTGGTACAGGCTGAAGACATCCTGGCCAAGCAGTAGAGATTAAAATGCATAGATTCATAAAGTAGAAGGAAAAAAGACCTACCACCGCTCAAATCCCCAAGCTATTATTCAGCTTGCCCTATGTGCTAGATATTGGGATGAAGAGATTTGTCATTCTGTTCTTGAACCTGATGCGTGACACAACATAAAGATCTTTTTTTGTTTTGTTTCAGAAACATATTAAAAGAACACATGCCAAACATCATACTTCAGAAGCGATTGAAAGTTATTATCAGAGGTATGACCTGCCTGCCCCACTAGAGGGTATCATAGTACCTATTAATTGTAATAATAATTATGAAAAATTAGGTTACTAAATTAATTGTCTATATAACATTTCAGGGCATTGTGATACAAGTCTTACTTAAGACTTAAGGTATATTTTTTTAATGATTTTTCAAATGGTGTGTTTAAAGAATATGGTGAGACTATCTTGATTGTGTGTTATGCATACTATGTAAGAAATCCTTACAGTATTATGAAATCTCAGTTGGCTACTTTAAACTTATTGTAAGTGCATATCTTGTATAGATGCATGTTAATACACACATGTATCTACATACATGTATGAAAGTTCTCGAATCAAGTTTTCTTATTTAAATCAACAAGTTGAAAAATACATTAGAAAATAAGATTGAATTTTGGTTCACTTCTATCTTGCATCATAGGTATTGGGTTTGCCATTTTAGAAATGGAAAAAAAGGACATGTCAAGTAAGGACATATGGAGATAGATAATAATAGACAACTGTCACATTTTAAATGGGGTTTTGTATTTTAAAAAGAAAATCTGGGTATTAAATCACCAACATAGTGTCCAGGGGATATTTTAATTTTGGCCTAATTTATTATAAATAGTTTTCAACCTCTGTTCTAAAACAGAATGTTTAAAGTAGCTTTTTAAAAGAAGAAGGTAGGAAGGGAAAATGAAGGGGGGAAATCGGAGGGGGAGACGAACCATGAGAGACTACGACTCTGAAAAACAAACTGAGGGTTCTAGAGGGGAGGGGGGGTGGGAGGATGGGTTAGCCTGGTGATGGGTATTGAGGAGGGCATGTACTAAATGGAGCACTGGGTGTTATATGCAAACAATGAATCATGGAACACTACATCAAAAACTAATGATGTAATGTATGGTGATTAACATAACATAATAAAATTAAAAAAGTAGCTTTTAAAAAAAAATTCTAAAAACGATACTGTCTTTGTAATATGACTGATTAATTTATAACTGTAAATGGTAATGGTTTGCATTAGAATTGTTGGTTTCTTAAATATTTCAAGGACATATTGGAAAGGAAAGCTGTCTGAAATATGCTTTTAAATTATTACACCTAAGATTGACAGATCAATGTTTCTGTGGCGATAGTGACACCACCGATTTTAGATGAATGATTTTTGTGCACAAAAATTTTATGAATGAAATGAGTATCTAGAATAAATACAGTATCGTGTTTCTGGAAAGTTGTTTTTTAAGAATTGAGAAGTGTTTATTGAAAACAAAAGTTATTGAACTTATTAGCCTTTTAAAAAATTATATAATGTGCCATGTATGATAAGAGATGCGTTCAGTTTTCAGTAGTAGTGTATGTTAAAGATACACACACCACATATGCATACACACTTTTGTGTCTAGGAGAATTCCCCTCTAAACAAGTCTTTGTAGAATTTGAATTGATTTTTTCCAAATTTATAGTCTCTTCAGTGACACCAACATTTGAATGCAAGTTATAACCTAAATCATTCATGAAAAATGAAGAATGGCTCACAAAGTGCTATGAAGTCATCAACAGCTTTGGAATCTAGACCCTCCAAAGAAAGACTGAAAAGTTACTTATCTGTCAAAAAGTACATTTTTGTTTATAAAAATGATCATCTTAGGCCATCATATAAAAGTTTGGTTCTATGTCCAGGCTTTAAAGCCTTGGTAACATAAGCAGTAGAAAATAGAGCCTTTCCTAGAAATTTGGAGATCCACTTACGGGCCATGGGGCTGCCCTCTGACAGTCATTTTCATTGTTGTTTAAAGGCCATTTTACTTAGATGATTTCTAAGACCTCTCGGTGCTGCTTTTTAAAATTTAGTTTCATTTAAAAGTGTATTTAATTATTGAGGTATGAACATACTTTATTGGATTATCTGAATTGGTCAAGCCAGAAATAAAATTCTTTCCTGTAAATATGGTTACTTAATGATGAACATTTGGGTGAGCAATAATGAGACTACAGAAATATATACACATATATTTATATATATTTATAAATTTATTTAAATGTGAGAATCTCAGTTGTTTTAAGGAGTCACAAATTTTGAAGTAAAAATGTGAAGTTAGGCTGTAATGGACAGTCTAATAAGAAAACAGTCTCACCAAATTCTTACTTGACCACCCTGTTCCCTGGCTTTTTGCCCTGCACTCTGTGCTTGGAGATGGGCCACATTGTTACCTTTCAGATGGATTGACCACACAGCCTCTTGTAAACGTGCTGGTTAAATGTCCCTATAGTCTCTAAGGTAAATTGGCCTTTCGAGAGTTTTGTTTTCCAGCTGATAATAATAAAGGCAAATTGTATTATATCAAAACATATCTAAGCAGTTTGACAATACTAATACTTTCTTTAATTCTTTTTCTTTTATAAAAGTAATACTTGAATATTGTAGAAATTAAGCACACCTGTAATGGTATAGAAAGGAATGGATGATCGCACATAATTGTGGCAGCCACAGGTAACCACTGTGGTATTTTTCATTGTAGTCTTTTGTCAATCCATTTTTATATAGATGAGGTCATACTATATATACCATTGTGAATCCTGAATTTTGTACTTGGAAAAATGTGTATAACATAATATCACTTTGTAGAAAGCTTTCTGTAAACATTTTATTGATTGCATTATTTCATCATATGAAAGTACCATAATTTACTGAATTATAACTGTTGAACATATATGTTTCTAATGTTGTAATATAAAAATAATACTGTGATAAACATTTAGGTACATAAGTGTTTGCAATTTGGATTAGTTTTTTAAGATTTCTATGTATATAATTACTGGTGCAAATAATGAGCATTTAAAGATTTTATTATATGTTGCCAAATTACTGTCTAGAAAGTTTATAATGGTTTCCCCATTGCACCTAGTCAGAGAATTCCGTTGTCTCTGCATTCTTGCTAGTGTTAAGATGATCTCAATTCAGAATTCGAAAACTGTATTTATAAACCATATAGTCCACAGTGTGATTCCATCATGGTTAACTGAAAGTTCAAAGTATCCAAATATCAGCTGAAAATGTTTTCTCGAGCTTTTGAATTATTGAGGAAATTTCCTCACTTCTTCATGTTGTGTATGTACAGGTACAGCCTGGTGTTCATTTTGAAAACAACTCTATTCTTTCCCCCTGTATCAATGGCATTTTATTTCCAAACAGGAAACATACTTGGTAAAATTTATTTAGGCCATCCAGACTGTTGCACAGGGGCATGTTTGCACACACACAGACACACTCACAAGTGGTCAGATTTGCAAGTCCCCATCAATAGCAAGGTTTAGAAATGTTGTCTCCCATCTTTTCCCGTCTTCCAACATACACTGTTTGAGGGCAAGCTTTATTAGCTTTAGAGAATCAGATCAATTGAATTTCATTCAGATTTTCACATGGAAAAAAGGCTAGCTCAAATATGTTATTGACATTACATGACAAAAATAGTTTCTGAAAATTTGAACTACATTTTTGTTTAATTATCACAACTTACTTTGCACTCACTGTGTCCCATCTACTAAGCCTGGAATCAAGTATACAAATGTGAATAAGACATGGTACCTGCCCTCAACTGCTCTGTTTTAGTGGGAAAACAGCTGCATCCTTGGAGATGGGCTCCAGAAATTTTAAAGGTAGAATCAACAAAGATGGTATTCAGCTGTAAGCTTAGAACAGAATTTTGGTAGTTTTTTGAAGTTATGCCATTATAATTATTATGAAAATAATTATTATAATAAAGATCAAATAACTTTTTAATATTTTAAATCAGGGGTGCCTGGGTGGCTCAGTCGGTTAAGCGTCTGCCTTCAGCTCAGGTCATGATCCAGGGTCCTGGGACCAGCCCCACATAAGGCTCCCTGCTCAGCGGGGAGTCTGCTTCTCCCCCTGCCCCTCCCCCACCTCGTGCTCATGTGTGCTCTCTCTCTCAAATAAATAAATAAATAAATCTTTAAAAAATATTTTAAATCAGTACATATCATTTTAATCTTAGATGCTAATAAATCTTTCACATTCAAAGAAACATAAAATGGACTTTCCATGAAGATCTTTTAAGGATGGTTTCAACCCACAGGATAAACATTTCTTAGCCCTCCTATGGCAAAGCTTAGAGGATGGCACATAGCTTCTGTGCAGAGTAGTTTTAATTTACAAATAGGTATTAGGAAGATGGCCCAGGGTACCTTAATGTAGTATCCATAATCACATCTTTATATCTCAGTTATAATTCAGACCTTTGCTAAGGATCTGTTGGATGTAAGTTCAGCATTCATTTGTGTAGGGCTCTCCCAAGATGCTTCCAGTCCAATTGGAGAGAGAAACAAACCATTGTAAATGTATGAAAAGTCTACACTGCAAGTTTGCACAAGATGTTTTGAGAATACAGAGAAGGGTAGCATTAGGAATTTCTGATCGTGTCCTTACTGAATGTTTTCTGTAATTAGTATGCTCCTTTGATTGCATATCTAAATATTTCAATAAAACTGATCTGTCACTTGGTATAGAAGACAGTTAAAGTTCCCAGAAAGGAAAACTTACTTCAAATTAATTTTCACTTAATTTCTTTTCCCCAGTACTTCTGAAGTGTTACGGAATATAGTTAGGAAACAAATTGGAGAATAAATATATTCAGAAGCAGGCCTACCCTTTTCAACATTTGAAGGCCCCTCAGTCGACCTTGGGGGATGGGGTTCCATTTCAGAGCTTTACTGTTCACCGGCCAAGAGAGCCCAGAAAGGTTTCATCCGTACCCTGGGGTCTTATTTCTTGGCAACTAGGCAGCTTTTAACAAGCTCATAATTAGGAATTTCCACTGCATTAAGTATGAACATGTTTCTATATAGATATAGTGGGCTATTGTTTGACCATCTCCTGTTCTTTAAACTTAACAGAGGCACTCCATTGGTTAATGGTTAATGCAACATTTACGTGAAACCACAGAGTTTTGAGTCCAAACAACAGTTCCCTGGCATAGACAGTGGTCTGAGGTCTAGCTTCTCTTTTTCATGTTTTCCTATCAGCTCTCAAAGCTCTGCTCTGGTCATACTAGAGCCTTTCCTGGTCCTCAGACACCCCGGGTACATTCCCAGCATTTGTGCTTACTGTTGTCTTGCTGGGAATGTTCTTCCTCCCATGGCTCCCCGCTTGCCTTCTTATGGGCCTCGACCCATGTGTCACTTGGAGATGGCTTCCTGACCAACCCATCTAAGCTTCCATTTTATCGTAGAATATATCATTATATTATGTATGTATTTCTGTGTTTTCATTGTCTCTCCACTGCAATATCATCTCTGTGATGGCAGGAGCCATGGAAGTTTTGTTCCCTGCTGCTCCTTCAGAACCTGGAACAGGCCCAATACAAGTGAGCTCTCAGAAATATTTGTGGGATGATAAATGAATGTTGAGTAGAAAGTTGTGAAGATACCCTAATATCAGTATAGGCTTAACTAATCTGACCCGGAGTCTGAACCCTTAATGAATGTGCATGTTTGGTGGCTTTGAACGCAGGATTAGTTGGTCAGACTTGACTGAACGGATTGGTTGTTTCCAGAGCAGCGATAGTGCTTATTTCTCAATTAGATTCCTAAACAGTTTTTTCAGGGAAGTCCCCAATTTATGGAAAATGAACTTAATAGAATTACTTTGAAGTTATAATGATCCTGAGACTTCCTACCGTGAATAATTTACTTTTCTTCCACTTTGTTTATAGGAAAATCATACATCTTCATAAACATACTTGTGAAATAATATAATTTAGTGTCTGCTTGTGGTAGTTATATGGAAGACCTCATCTGTTGACCTTGATTTTTACTATCAAACAGATATTGTTAATTTATTCACTCAAACGGCATACTGTAGAGAAAACATCCATATTGAATTCTCTTTTCTTATCCAGTATGGCTTTTAAAAGTTATTAATCAGTCATTTATTAAAGAAAAAATATATGTATGTATAATGCAATCACCTATTTTAAGTCAAAAACTGTTTTAGGCATAATAAATGGAATAAAATACAATTCTTCTACCCTCATCAGGCTTTCAACCCTGCATTGGGGGATGGGTTTGAGGTGGACAAGTAACTAGGCAGATACAATATGATGCTGTGTTAAGTGATGGAGAGATTTACAAGGTGCTCATCGATTGTACCTTGGGACACCTAACTTTCTCCTGGCTTGTGGTGGTTTGAAGAAAGTTACATGTAAGCTGAATCACGAGTTCTCCAGGTGAGGGTTGGAGTGCAGAACAGTGACTACAGATGAGACTGGCCGAGGACAGTAGGTGGGAACCAGATTATGAAGAAATTTGTAAGAGGTATTAAGTGGCTATAATTGAATCTTGAGATTTAATGTGGGGCTGTGAAATGTTTTGAGGAGAATGGCACATTCAGATTTTTGCTTAAAAAAAATCACTCTGGCTTCCATGTCTGGGATGGATTTGGGGAGGTTTTTTTGTAGGTTTTTTTAATAGTGGGATTAGGGAATGAGGAGGGATGGAGGTTATGATAGAAATCCAGGACATAAAAGATGATGCCTTGTATTGCCTGACAAGGTGTGCTGACCCACCGATGACAGGTCTGCTCCATTTGTTTCTTAATAAGGTGTCAACCAATGGATGCTTTTTTTCAAACCATAAGAGTAAACTCACTTTCTTCGCATAAGGTGGTTGTGGTATAGATAAAGCCAGGTGACAGGGCTAGTTCTTTTCAAAATCACTTCTGTCTTCATGGAAGGGAAGGGAGCCCAACCTGCTCATACCTCGCACCCTCAACTTCAGTTAGTAAGTTGCCAGTGGTTTTGAGGTAAGTTTTTTTTTGTTTGTTTTTCTTTTCCCTTCAATGCTTTTCCTATGACAGTAGCATACTTTAACTAGAGTTGAGCATGGCATTTGCCCAGGAGAAACGTGTACACACAGCGGATGCTGACAAGTCTATGCTGGCCTTTTCTTGTCACTGCATTACCACTTGGCTTTGTCTGTCTAGGTACCTGAATGGAGTGGGGAGAAATGGAACTGCCCCAGTGCTCCTGGAGCTGGCCAATGAGGTAATGTTATTGTTATTATTTTACTTAAACCTGCATAAAACCTAAGGGGCCTATCTAGAGTAGCTTTGCTTGGAATTATAATTAACCTTAAAGAAAGAGGTTTTGAGGTGCATTAGACATTTAAATTGCTCCCTGGTCTCTTTGCAGTTTTAATAATTGGACAAAGAACTTCATATATTAATAAATCAGTTAACATAATTAGTCTACTTCTTTTAACGCAAATGTATAAACAGCTTCTTGGTTTCTTATTTTGTGGGAAATTTCAACCAAACAGCTCAGGACATGCTCATCTTTGGATGTGTTGTCTTAATTTAGTGTGAGAAATACCTGTGTTAAGTAAAGAGAGGTATGCCAAGAAAACCTATGCTAACTATTATAAAAATGAGGAAAGAAACTGTATACTTAAAAATGTAATGTTTACTTGATTTATTTTTTTGTTAGCAAACTTTTATTATGATAAAAGATACATGCCTTGAAAAGTCTCTTTATATGAAGAAGCATACTGTTCTTAGTAACACCAAGTATAAAGTGATTTATTGAACTTATTTGTTAACTCTGATCTGCTTCTGTTTGGGGAAACAAATAATAGTCTTACATTTAAAAAAGGAAGCCCTCAAGATTTCCCATGAATGAAGAAGCTATAAAAAGTTCATAATAGTGGCAGAGAGCATACTGAAAAATAAAATATTTAATTCCTAAACTTTGAAATATTTATCCACTATAATAAGAGCAATACAATATTTAGTCTGACTTGGAACTGCTTGTGCAAACCTCGCAGGGATGGAATGCAATGTACACTGTTTTCGTGTTGCATTATAATGGAAAACATAGAAGCAAGGCAGAAAATGTGTGTTTGCATTAAAGATGACTCAGTACTGTGAGCATTAAGTGTTGTGGTAGCAGCACGTTCTACATGTTACATTAGCAAGGAAGGATGGTTTCTCTCACAGCTTCTGTCTGCTGTGCCACTACATTCAGCAAATGAGCAATTACCTATCAGTTACTAGAGGGTTTTAATGGTCTAGGCAGTGTCTACACCATCTGATACGATAGTTAACATATAAAATGCACTTCTCCTCCTAGCAAAACATGTATTCATACTTTTTTCTGCTTCTAAAGCAAGGTAGTTTTTAAATGTCTTCAGACTTGTTTGTTATGAGTTGATTCTATAAGCCGCTTGAGGTTACTGTGCTGTAACTAGGAATTTAGTGATTGTCCTTTATGGAAAAAAAACATAAAGGAGTGAGCTAATAGCATCTAGAAATAAGGTGATGCAAATGTACTCATTTTTATAGATGATGATATTGATGACATAAGTTTTACGTAGTAGCAATTTATATTCATTTGAATTTTTAATGGATATTTGTGTTGAGCTTAGCTTATTTAGCTGCCCTCACCATCCATCTTCTAGTACTATGGAAAATTTTAAGCCACTAACGCATTTTCTCCTACATTGGTAAACCTGTTATTTACCACAAATATATAGAATATTTAACCAAAGAAAAGGGTTACTAAAGATTTTTTCTGTCCTTTGGCTGCAGATTGGCACAGAGGTAATAGCACTTTCTGAGTGACTACGAATGCATCAGGGAAATTTGGGAATGACTGGTACCAGAGTATGGCTTCTAAACAACTAGGCTGCCATTTTTATATGATAGTTAATACTTACATGACATATGCTTGCATCTGGTGACAATTGATGTGATGGTAATGCTTTATGAGTCAGTATATATTTAATCAGTGGAAACTAAAAATTGATGAGAAATATATAACATTGGTACATCACAGTGTGCAGTAGCTCTCTTAAACGAGAACACCGTATTGTTGATTTGGGGGGCAAGGACTAGAGGCGGTCATCAGTGCTTTTATAAATACCTTAATACTAATTTTCCTATTTCAAGGCTAAAAATGAACATTTTAGGAAATCTCATTTTGTTAGTAATAATAAGATCACTCATTCTATTCTCTCCACACAAATATTTTCAAGTGAGATTTGAAACACTATGAATTTTACTTACATGCTAAATTCTGACATGAAGCATGATGGCCCTATTTCAGAGAAAGATGGACACATGATTAATATGAAAATTAGGGAGATGCAAGTACCTGAACTAATAAGGTAGTCCTTATTCAGGCTGGACTACCTTCAGTAATTTCACCATTTTTCATGTGTCAGCTCTGATGTGGGTTACTAGGAATAAGCAGCTTCGTGGAAAGCATTTCTTTCTACTTGGGGAATTTAAGGGCATCCAAGTACATACATATTTGAAAAAACTGTTCATACAAATGAAGCCAGCCTTTTTGTCTAGTTACTAAATCAAGACAAAATTTTGGTATGAATACAGGACTTGAAAACCTGTCAAGAAAAATTCATGGTGATAATATAGGAGGAACATTTGCTATCTTACACCTAAGATAAAAAGACTTATTTTAGGGGAGCATTAGTGCTCTTGAAAAACACACACCTATTTTCTGGGGAAATTAAATCCATGGTTAATAAAAGATCCGAGAACCAAAAAGAAAACAATATGTTTCCAAAAGAGTAGATGTATTTTTAATTAATTAAAAGACTGTTAGCTTGAGTATTCCTGTTTTCTGTTTGATCCTTTGGAAGAAAGGTACATCCTTGGGTTCTGTATTAACTAAATTGATAGGTAATATTTCAGATAAGCCTAAGGATGGTGATGTGATCTTACAGTACAGGGATTATTATTGTTGTTTTTATTATTAATGTTTCTACAGTATCAAACAAGATATTAAACAAGATATTTTATATTTAAGGAACTTATACCAAAACTTTGGTTAAGTCTTTAAGGATAAAATAAACTAAAATCAGTAAAATCCATATTTTTAATGGCTAAGGAAATTTAAGGCAGTTTCTGAAAGCAGTCACTAACAGAAGGGTTTTCTTTTCTTTTTTTTTTTTTTTGAAATTCAAAACAGTGGTAAATATAGATAGTTGGAAAGAAAGAGGAATGGCTAGAATAACAAGTAATATTGGCCTACCAGTGGAAAAAATTGAGGAGAGGTGAGAAAAGTCCATTTTACTGTTGTAGATGAATACTCTTTCCAAGTTGTTCCATCCTTTTGCTCCAATTTTATATGTAATAAATTTGGGCCACTTATTTTTTTCACCAGCACAGATCATACTTGCTATAATTTTATCATGATGGAAGCCACCAAGAGTAGGAAAGATTTTAATGAATGATGCTTGCTGTGGTTGATTAAAATCGACTTAATCTTCAGTGTTGACAAAATATTGGAATATCAACCGCTTGCACAACTTGACAGTCTTAATTTTCTATTTCTGTTTCGTAAAGGTAGACTATGCACCCTCATTAATGGCTCGGATTATACTGGAGAGATTTCTACAAGAGCATGAGGAAACTCCAC